TATTGTTCTCAGACGAATCAAGATTCGCTCAATTTTCGGACAGTGGAAGGATATGGGTCTGGAGAATGCCTCACCAAGAGTTTTGGCTCAACAGATTGCAGCCAACTGTGAGCATGGTGGTTTCAGCGTGATGGTTTGGGGAGCTGTTTGGGTTGGTGGGAGATCGAGCTTAGTGGAGTGCGTTGGCAACATAAATTTTGCGAAATACGTCAAATATCGACTCTTGCCACTTTATTCCTCGGGTTTCACGGACAAGAACACAACGTTGTTCCAGGAAGATGGAGCACCGTGGCACACTGCTAGAAACATCCAAAAGTGGCAGGAAGAAAATGGTATCCAAAAGTTGCCCTGGCCTGACATGAACCCCATCGAAAACCTCTGGGCCATACTCGACTGGCAAGTCAAGAAACAACCAAAAAAAAACAACTTCGAAGAGCGATCTACTCCAAGTTTTGAAGCAAGAGTGGGTGAAAATCCCACAATTCAAAATTGAAGAGACGATTCTCACGATGCCCAAAAGGATCAACGAACTCCACTAAGCGAAAGGAACATCTACTAGATATTAATTAAATTATAAATGTATCAATTCATGTGAATATGACTGAAAAATTTCATTTTTTCTGAAAAGGTGGTGTTCTATTTACTTGTGACCACGCTATGTATATGGCATATTGGAGGATAGCATGTCATCTACACACACAAAACACCACCACCCTACTCTGCACTGAATGGTTATAGCCATCTTTGCATGGAAACAATTCAGGAGGGTGCATCCACGGTCGACCACCCCAGCGGCTTGGAACTGTAAAGTCATATGGACTCCCAAACTCCACTAGAAAAAAGGAGGGGTGGGGTGAGAACGTCATGGAGAGTCCAGAGGAACATTATCACCTGAGACAATGCAATGGGTGACCACAAAAACCCTATTTTGAAAAGCAGACCATACAGATTTACTCAATACAAGGCATGGCAGGGATCGGCAGTTATCTCCTTCTGTTTTACACATGCAGTTCATGGGTGGTACAGTCCGGAATGGGCAAATTTATGAAGCAATTACATCGCAAGGTTATTCACCTACAAGCGATCTTGTGGAACACCTTATCTCAACAGTGAGCATTGCAAAGCCATGGAAGATAAAGTGCGAGTCAACATAGCTGTATAGTGCAAGATCCATATAATGAGTAAATAAAGCAAGGGCTCCTGAAAGGAAAAGTATGAATATAAACTCACTCAGTCAAAGTCGCACTGAACCCTGAAGAATGACCACAGGTGGAAGACGAAAACCTGAGGAAGAAGAAACCGTGATATGGTGCAAATAATGGGAGATGAATGTATTAGGTGTAGCCCACATGCCTGACTGTAGAATTTCCTCCAATGGCCAAAGAAGATGAGATGAGAGGGAAAAGGTGAGGTGTTGAATCTGATGAGAAAACACATGGAACAAATTCCGGGATGAAGACAAGAAGGAATAAGCCAATCAAATCCAAAGTCGAACCCAATTGCTGAAGATAAAAGGAGAAAGATCCCGAATAGAGGAAGACTGTTACGGGATAAAGAGTCAGGAACAGATACCATGAAAGGAAGCTGTGCGGGCAATATCAAAACAAAGAGTACGGACAGGACATTGAAGTCTATCTAGATCGGGATGAGGGTAGAGACGAGAAATAGAAGGAAGGGAAATAGGTGAAAAGGAGGAATTACCCTCTCTAGCTGTTGAGGTTTTTGGGAGGAAGGAATGATCTGGATAAAGGAGAAGATAGGTAGGGTGGTAAAGCGTATGTGAAATGTCAATGGCAAACAAATCAGATCTTTGACGTTTACAGGTTAAGAAGACAAGGAAATACATTTTAAGGGAAAGGTGAAACATGGAACATGAGGAAAGGGGTTAAAACAGAGGTAAAATGAGGGAATGGAGGACCACATTAATATTCCAGTCCAGAAGACGATGAATCTGGAAGGAATGCATTAATATAGTAAGGGTGGAAAGCAAAACAGTATCAGGAAAAATGAAAGGTATGGGATAAGACAGCCCAATAACCAGAGAGCTAGGAGCCCGAAGACCCCCAGTAAAGAAGCCTTGGGAGAAACTCTGACACCTCACAAAAAGTAAGTCAGTCAGCTGGGAATCCCCAAGTTATAGACCAACTGGAGAACACTTTCCATTTGCACTGATACACCTCCACTGAAGAAGGACATATGGAACAAGCTAAAAGGAAAGCTACTCAAAGGGAACCTGATCTCCTCACAAAGGACTGAATAAAAGCAAGGCGTGAAGACAAAGGACATGAATGGCTGGATGTAGAACTGGTGACCAAGGCTGATGAATAAGAGAGGGAACAAAGGATGAGGTACTGGAGGGAAGAGTTGCAGTCCTTGTAATAGTGAAAACCATGGTTGAGCTGGCCAATAAGAAGCACTCAGAAGGACCCGACACAGTGTGGTATAGATAAGAGAGATCACCCAATGAAGTACTCTGATAGGAAGATAAATATAAAGGAATTTATGGAACCAATCCTGGCTGAGGGCATTGACAGCCAGAGCCCGAGGATGAGGTACTGGGGACCAAAAGAGGGGTAACTTATGATTGAGGTATGTGGCAAATGCATCTATGTGGGGAAAACCCCATGGATTGCAAAGCCCCAGAAAATGAGGGGATCTAAAAACCACTCTGTTGGATATATTTAGTCGGGGTGGGAAAGACGATCCATTACGAACTTGAAAGCATCTGAAACATGACACGCAATGAGTTGAATGTGGTGTGTGTGGGCCCAATATAGTAGATCCAACATTTAAAAACAGAGAGATCTCGACCAGGTGCCCCTTTGCAATTGATATATGCTACCACCATAGAAATGTTGGAATGAATCATCACCAATGTCTGGCAAGAGGAATGAAGTAATTCAAAGCCTGACGATGTTGATAAGCCTCCTGGTGATTGACCCATGCACCCCAGCCCTAAAAAGATGTAAACCCGGACGAGGAGGAGGAAGCGGGATGCCAATTGACGTATGGGCCTTGTCCAACCACCAATGCAGATTGTCCATCAGGGTAGAAGGAAGGGTAACGTGAGCTGACAAGAGATACTGAGCAAGGTTCCATTGATCATGAAGAGTCTAATGAAGGTATCGCATATGCGCACAACCGAGGGAAACCAGTAATGTCATTGAAGACCACAACCCCAAAAACGATAGAACCTTGCAAGTAGAAGTGAGGGAGCCAAATGGCATGGCAAACTAAAAGTTTCATGGAAGGAAGTCATAAATGAGAAGGTTGGACATGATTGAGATGAGTGTCGAAAAAGACACAAAGTGGATGAGATATTGGGTAGGTCGTCAAAAGGACTTCTCCAATTTTGATTAACCAGCCCACCTTAGCAGCCACTAAAAGGAGCTGACGAGTATGGCTAGCCAATTCCAGTTTCAAAGGAACCAGAATAAGCCAGCATTCATTTAATGGTGGAATTTTAACCCTAGAGGAAGAAGATGGTGTGCAAAACTTTGACGACCCTACAGAAAACATAATGGGCAGAGCAAGTTCAAATGGTAGGGTATGAAATTGATAAACCACCCCGTGATGGACAAACCAAAGATATGGATGAGATCGTGGTGATATAGGGATGTGGAGATAAGCATTGCCAATTTCCATCTTGGTCATCCATAAACCTGGAAAAAACGCCCACCGTAGCGTAAGAAGTGACTCCATGGTAAAATGGGGCAATTGAGGTGGGACAAATAGATAACAGGTCTTCAGTCCCAGTTTTCTTGGGAACAACAAAGAGTCTGGAATAAAAACCTGGTGAAGGATGTAGAACAGGTTCGATGGCCTGCTGAGAAAGTAGTTCTTGAACCACCTCCGACAGCTGTTGGTAGGTCATGGGATCTTGAGGTGGACGGAAGGAAAAGGTATAGGAGACACAGGAGGTGGGAAAAAAAAAACGGGATCATGAATCCTTCTGATAAAACTTGAAGAACTCAATGATCCTTGTCGAAAGGACACCAATGATGAAGAAAATCGGCAAGCCGAGCTCCCACTGGACCAGAACCACCAGATAGCCACCGATACCGTTGGTGATGTGACATGCATCATCGAAGAAAATGACGAGACGATGCACCTTGACAAGAAGGGACATGTAAGGGGAGGGACAGGATGAGAAACGGTAATAAATGCCATATTGGATTCTGCCTAAGACAAATGGGTGACAAGGTTGGAAAGGGATGACTGTTGTTGTACCGATGCAACTTGTGATTACAAAGATCATGTCAAAGACGTATTGCTGCAGAAATAGGAGCACACATAAATCCCAAAGATAAGATGATGCTAAACAGATGTGAGTTAAGGTCGCATTACGACCTAGAAGGTCCAAACAACAGAGAAACCATGTATGTAAAGCTAGAGCTGAAGCCGACAATTGAGCCAACGTGGAGGAAATGGTGAGAATGTCCCCAGAAAACCCCTCAGGATTTCGGTGGAGAGCCTCAGAGAGAATATGGATGGTAGAGAGACACTGTAAAAAAGAGTTGTGATGGTAAGACGAGGGTAGGAAGATTGAGCATGGGTCAGACTTACAGGAGATTCGGGATCCGCACCCCAAACTGGCAAAATGAAACCTAACAATTGCTGGTCCTGAAAGGACAGTCTGCCTAATGATATGCAAGAGAAAACTGATCCAAAGCCTTCATCACGTAATTGTGAGGCAAATTGGTCAGCATGTGCCTGAATATCTGGGGAGGGGGGGAAAACCAAATAGGGATGGGAAGATCGGTCATGTAATAAGGAAGGATGTGGCTCATAGAAAATAAGGGAAAAGAATAAAACATCACATACCAGTGAACAAAATCCAAAAAGACTGTATTAGGCCTAACTGATTCCTGAGGTGGAGCATGGGAAGGCACGGCAAAATCAGCAGGTGGAAACAGGAGATCCAAGTCCTCGTCTGCCTGAACAGGCTCGGGTTGTTCAGGAGGAAGTGGAGCAAAATCCGAAGACAGGTTGACCCATGTAAAATTCAACCTTCCAGCAAGTAAATGTGGATAAATTCCTGCCTGATACATAGCGCTAGTCGCAGGTGTGACCCTAGAAGTGGTAACATGAACTTCGGAATTCATAATGAGGAAGAATCAACCAATAATCGAAAGTATAATTAACAATGCAACTGTAATAAACTGGGATTAAAATTAATTTAAGAAACAGTCTTAATAGAAACTAGAAGTAAAAATAAATGAAGACCACTTCGTGAGTATAGTAAAGATGAACGTAAAACTTTAAACAAACAAAAAAGAACACGTCCAAGCACAATTGCTGCCAAATGAGAAGTGATAGTTCAGTAGAGGTGTATAGAGGGAGTCACGTGTCACGTATGTCATGCTCCTATTGATGGAGAAGTGATGCAGGATGATTTACAAGACATATTGGAATCATTCAATTCCAATATGGGGGGTGGAGCAGAAGGCTTGTGGCATGTATAAAGAAACAATTTGCATACAGAGGGCAGCACTGGACGAGAATAATTAATCTTGTGAGAAGAGGGAAGTACCATATCAGAATGTTTCAAATAGATATTTATGTTAAATATACTGGAACATTAAAGTGTTTGGTACAAAGTAATATTAATTGCAAATAAAACTTATTTTAAAGATGCTTAGATATCACAAGCATGTTTAATAATCATGCTTTTTTGTTAAATCAGTAATTCCTCTTTCTTGAAAAAAGCAAATTTCATACACTTACTTAAAGGAAGCTCCAGGATATAATGTACGTAGAGGTTATTATCACTGAATCCATAAGCTGAAACTGAATAAACACAAATGTTAAATTCTGATTAAATCTGTGTATACATACAACTAAGTTCCAAGCTACCTTTTAAGATATCCCATATTGTAAATTTTACCTTGACATTGCTTGTTTTGTCCTTAATGCTGAATTTTTTTGTTACCTGGTTCTTATATATGCACAAAAAAAGTATTGTGTACTACTGGTAATGAAAATGTTTTACACAATATAATTCTAAATGCATCTTTATAAAATAACAATTAATTTACATTGGTGTAAAAAGTATCATTACTCTCGGTGAATATCCCACTTACAAGTAAAATTCAGTTTAATAACAGCACTAACTCTGACATAACCACATCCAATTAATATTGTACTTTTAGGCTGATTTTCTTAACTTTTATCTTACTGTATTAATCTCATTCTTTCTATACGTGCATTGTTTTTTGTTATTTAGCTAGATAGATCACCTTACTAGTATTTATGCAGTCTGGATATGAAACTGAATATAATAATGCCAGATTTTCTCAAAAACAACATTTCTCTGATGAAAAAAAAATTAAAGAATCTAATCATTGAGTCATAAAGTGGCATTTGTTTTTAGATAATTTATCAGTTTATTTTCATCTACTCTCCCAAGATATCTTCAGTAAAAGTTTTACTTTATAAGAAATTACTTTCAAAGATGTGTGTTCAGTCACTAGTATAAGAGCACATTAAAGAGTAAATTAACCTGAATCAGTACTTACATCTCAGAAAACTGTCAAATGCAAAATAACACAATATTGTTTCATTAGTTTTATATTGTCTATATTTTTAACAAATTAATAATTTAGGTGGCATAACAAAAATGCATTAACATATAACTGAAGAGATAGATATTTAGAAAACTTAACATTTGCTCAAAACAAAACAAAAACATCCATTTGTAGTTTAATGCATCATGTTAACAGTAAGTTTGATTAGTGATGTGACTGTAGAGCTAATTTTATAGGCATATATTACAGGTATTATTCATAACATAAATTACTGAACAACAAGTGGTTTTGCATCATTAGGGTCCATTCTACACAATGGGCTATCTGTGCTGTGTATCCAAACCTGATTTTTTTGCATTGTAACCCTTTGGACTTAATGCTGAGCTACCAGGGGTCATTTGTGTAATAATGACCATTGACTTCCTGGCTATATCTTGAAGAAATGGGAAGCTCACACCAAGGACATAAATATTTTGTCATTCAGTGATATTATACTAACAGAGAGTTAGATAAAGCTTTCAACAGTCAATACCAATCCTTGGTCTTTTCCTTTGGCATGAACTAAAACTGCAGTGACCTATCAACTTACACAAAGTAAGGAGAATTTTTAACATTAAATATTATATGGAAAATTCAATAAATGAAAAATAGACTCCAGGATCATGAGTTGAATCCAGGACCTCTGTCTAACAGGGACAGTACTGTATCAACTGAGCAATCCCCATCATTGATCACAATATTACATTACTGGAATGACTTACAACCAAATTATACAAAGTCTATCACAGACTTATGTTTATTTTTAAATTCATTTAGGAATGAATGAAAAGTTAACAGTTTCTATACTGAAAATCATTTCCAATAATACTTACCTTTACACTTTAGCTTTATCCCAAAGAAAGTTTTTCTTCTCTGCTCATCTCAGAATTGGTATGAATTTTACCTTGATTGCTCCAGTCTTTATACCCCACTATATTGCCCCCATTGATTGTAATCTTGTGACTCTCTCCACCTACGTCGATGCTCCCTCTATACCTGATCCTCGTATAAGCTTCCTATTATTCTTTCTTATTCACTTTTTCAAGACTGGTTAAATTACAGACCTGAACACCAGCTACTGTGGGGAAGAAGGGTGGAAGAGTGTAAAGGAGGTAAGTATTGTTGGAAATACATTTTCAGTATAGAAAATGTTAATTTCCAAAACACACTTATCTTCGTTCACACTTTAGCAAAAATCCCACATTGACAAGGTGGAGGGGCTAGTGAGGGCAAGATCCACACAGAAAGTGTCTATGTAACAAAGAGTTGTGGGAAAATAAGATATAGTAATAGCATATTAGTGGGGACTGCACTACTTCTAAAACAGGAATGCTCTTTGCCTGGACAACAAGAAATCTAATTCCTGGGTGGAAAAGGCCGACCAGCTACAGAGATAAAATCCTAACATTAATTCGTCCAGGTTCCACATCTCATCATTGGAATTATAGGGCTGTGGACCCAAATCCAGATCCAAGTTGAAGTGGCTAGGGCATGAGGACCACTTTGTATTTGATCTTGTTTAGTAATGTGGTATTATTTGTAATTTGAACCAAACCTGATAGTTACAGAAAGTTGCATGTTGAGCCACCAGAATTATGAAGAGAAAGCAAGCAACATAAAAGTGGACAAACCCTATCCCTAATCTCAAGAAGTGCAAAATGGAACAAACTGAACTCGGAATTACGGGACCTGTCACGCCACTAAAACCTGTAGAAACAGAGATTACCAACGTCCCAACTCCCAACCTGAGAGGCAAGGTAGCACCTCCTGCCCCTGGAATTACAAGGAGGATGTGGAACAAACTAAGTCCAAACAAGGGCACAGGAATTGACGCTCCTCATGTGAAACTATGAGGAGTCAAGGACCCTCTTCTATGATAATTGAAATGAACAGAATGACCAGAAAAAAGGGCTATGCTCAACTCAATTAGATAGTGGAGAATCATTTCTGAACTGGAATTACAAGGAGGTTTCTGCATAGGCTGGCCTTGCTCCTACCATACATCTGGGAAAACCATCCAGGGTTATTGGTAGGAGGGCATCCAGCTTTGCCCTCTTCTGCTTGAGTGAAATAACGAGTTCAAGCATTACCCAGGGGGAATAAACCTCTGTCCACCACTTCAGTGACTGGAAACTGGGAGTGGTGAGGACTCCCATTGGGAGTCCCAAGCAACGCTGCTCCATAGCACAGCTTCCCCCGTATTATTGAGATGAATGTGTTTAATTTGTTTCACGACCAACATATGTGTCTTATTGTACATTGAGTTTTAAACCATTTGTAAAATATCAGACAAGATTTTTATTCATCAGTTAGAATGTTTTAATTATACAGCAACAACAACAGAAGTGTGGGTCTTACTACAAAATAAAGATGGTAATAAGGAAAAATATAAAACTCTTATGTGGTACTGGTAGTACGTACAAATCACACAAGGTTATCACTAAATACTGAATCATATTTTTATTATGAACTAAATATAAAATTATGCTAAATTATTGAACTTAAAACTACAAATTTAAATGCAAAAGATATAAAAAATCACAAACTCTTTCAGTTCAAAGTCCTAAGCCTAATTCATGTAAAGACCTTGCATTCGCCAGTCGATAGCTCTTAACCCTAACAATCGTGGATCAACTTCTTTCCTAAAAATATATCTATTTTCAGTTAATATTTCAATATAATGATTAATATAAATAGATATACGATGCAGCATGACTTAAGCTACTATATAAAAATAATAAAAGTCACGTACATCCCATGCAGTTTTTTCCAGAAGCAAGTTTTCTAAACGCTTATAGAAAAGCACTATTGGCCAGTACTAGATACAACCTCTACATAAAATGGCAGTTACTATAATAAGCACCACCCACATTCATATTGTAAAATCCAGAGAACAATGTTTCTTCACGTGCTTTCCTTATCATCCTATGATTTGTCAAATGTGAGATACAGCAGTTGGAATAACATGGTACTGAAATTGACACCGTCGACTAGGATTGGCTAAAAGTTTTACAACTGAGGTTTAACATGCCCAGACGCTGTTTTATAAAGAAAACAGACCAGAAAAAGATTTAGCTGCCAATCATAGATAGCAGGACCAGTGCTGAAGTGGAAGGAAATATTTAAAAAAAATTTTCTTCTTAGAAGGCCTCAGATAAGATCAAAATGGCCACGGAAGATAAAGGGTTAAGCCATCGAGTAAGGTGCAGGCTCAAAAGCAACTGTGGAAAGACCCAGAACATCACACACTCGATGGACCAAATGAAGAAACAGAGCCTGAGGCAGCTTATCCCAAAGTGGCCTCCTGAGAAGCCAACAGAATAAAAGAAGGTGCAGGAAAAAACGAATCTCAATTCTCTCCAGAATGTCCAGGATCACCCTCATCCGCAGCCTCAGACGCCCCCCCCCCTCTAGAAGAATACTACTTAACTGAATATATGTCTCCATCTCACTATGAATAAGATCACTGACAGTCTCAACTGTTGATTGATGCTAGATATCAAAGTGGAATAGGAGAGACCTGATTTGCCTCTGTGCTGGAAATAATAATCTGGGTATTCATGACATATATTGGCTTGCCAAACGAAATTTAGTTTTTTTAAAAACCAACTACGTAACATGAAGAATACTCAAAGTATCTCCAATGAACGTAGCACAGAGAAACCTATTTTTTTAATGCTTTGTTGAGAAAAAAAGTGATAACATTATCTGAATGAGGTGCTTATATACATTACCAGGAAAGAGGGTGCACTGACATAGGTGGAGAGTGTCATGAGACAAATATTGCCAAGGGCAATTAAGTGGGGTATAAAAGACTGGAGCAAGCGAGAAAAAATGAGAACAATGCTCAGATGGGCAAAAGAAGAAACCCTGGGAGTAAAGTAATAGCTGTAGTGTGAGAGGAGGTAAGTATGTTTTGGAATTTAAGTAATCAATATCTATTGGGCAGAAATGATACTCACACAAGAGAGTTCTACTTGTTGATAATAGTGAAAAAAAAAACAAACAGTTAATGGTCACAAAAGAGATTATTTTTCTCACTTAAAAAAGAAACAGTGTATAAGCTTTCCTTTTAAAATGTGAAATTTTTACTTTTTCAATTGCAGTATTCTTAACCAGGACTCACTCAAAAATGTATTATAAACAGGGCAAAACAGAATATTTGAGGGAATTAGGCTAATACCAGGAACCCAAAAAACATTAACTATTTTTAAAAAAAGCACTGTTGAATAAGGGAAAATAAATTTCAAGTCTTGCTAAATATAGCTGCAATGTCTGTTGATTCTATAGCCAAAAATACAAAACAAGAGAAAACACTCACTAACCCTGAACATGAAACCATACATATTATGATGTAATAAGTTTATCTTCACAAGATACGGCAGGCTTTTAGAAAATATTAAACATTTTTTGTATGTAACAAATCAGATTTTTTACTAAAGATGTGTCTGTGAATTTATGGAGTTATAGCCTGACTAGTCTGAATGCAAGGTGATTTTTATGTTAAGATTAAAAAATTCTTTTTTTTTTATATTACAGTATTTTAATTTCATTTGCACAACCTACAGAACTTTCTAAATTAATATTAAATGCTTCATTCGGTAAAATGTTTTATTTTTTCTATTTTCTCTAACCTAGCACTATACAGCCTTGATCCACTTCATCGATCTTGTTATCACCCCCCCCCAAAAATATGGAATAAACTTAAATTACCATTTTTCCTTACTAGAATTATTGCAAACTGTAACACAAAGTGTCAATTATTTATCCTAAACAGCCTAGGGTTTTTAACAGTTTATATCTGTTTTATACTTAATTCTATTGTTTTATTGCTGTTTGAACTTAAACTACTAAATATGTGTAACAAAGCTATAATCACCAGCAAGAACACAGTTTAAGTTGAATTATGTAATTCAGATGCAGTTTTGCATGCATACCTCATTGAGAAATTATTTATTTGTTTTCTTATCCAACCTAATGAGCTTCAAAGTTTTTACATTTTAGGTACTTTTATAACAATAAATAAAAAAATAAACATAAAAACCAAAAATCTAGCACTTACATGTGGGTCTTGTACTTTTTTTTGTAGTTGAAATCTCAATAAAAGTTAACCTAATTTCTGGTAAGGTTGTTAGTTCTTTACTGAATTTTTTTATATATATTTCAAATATTCAATTAGGAACAAAAACTAATAACACACAAACAATATAATGTTCTGTAAGTATTATAATTTAACTGGCTTTGTAACTAAGCTAAAGTGTAAATATTTCCCTTGCTTGTTCAAGGTGAACTTGGCAATAGCAACTTTGATTCTGTAGGCTGAATGATTCAAAAGCTGTGGTCAAAATGAGCTAGCTATTATGTAATTCAGCGAATTACGTCTTTTCTTCCTATTGGTTATAGCTATGTATTAGCAAACGTCGGAGAGAATTAATGAAATATTTTTGAAAGGCAGTATGTGATAGGAGGGATTGACTTTCTGGTTTATATCTCAGTAAGTGAAGATGATTGGAGGCTATAAAGTTAGATTTTGTCTTAGCAATATCTGTACTATAAGTTTGTAATTTGTATTAAAATTCAGTTTCTCAAATAGGGTGGAAAGAATATCTAACTTGAGCAACTTGGAGTGAACAAATGTCATGTAATATAAAGTGAAGAATGAGAATTTATTTAAACATACCCTGTGAAAATTTGATTAACTATGTTTTTATGCCAAATTTATTGACATACAATGAAAATAAAGTAGTTTAATTACAATTTTAAATGTAATTCTGTTAAAAGGTTGTGATTTGCATTTTTATCTACCCACATGCAGAGGATTAAATAGTGCTTAAAAGGAATAATTCATAATCAACTTTTCTAGTTCTGATAACTTTCTGTTAAACTAAAGCTGTGATTAGCTAGGAAACAGATATTTGAAGATGAAGCCATATGAACAAAACTGTTGATGGACAAGAAGGTGGATCTGGTCAAGAAGACATATTCACGACTGTAATAAAAGGCTTCTGTACTATAGGATGTTTAAAGTTTAAAACAAATACACAAAAATCACAGCACTAACAAAATTTGAATGTAGAACATCAACAAGCCATTGAAAGGCTTGATCCACATGAAGAAAATGAAATTCCAAAATGACAAACAGAAAGGTAAAAAACACGACCAAATGCTGATGACTGGAAAGCTTCCCATAGTCAGGGTACAAGTCAATAAGTTGGTTTTACAGATGCAGTTTTAATGTACAGCAAAAGTCAAAGTTAAAGTTAGCTAAGGTTATCCTGCTAACTAATAAAATAGTAATAAAGAGGTAAATTATGTGAATATATAGAAATAGGTAGTTAAAAATAGAAATTATGCTAAGCAATCAAAAACAACTTGTAATACATTTCCTAAGTCATAACCAATATTGAAAAATTTCTGTTACAATTATAAACAAATTTGTGGAAACATGGTTTAAGTGATGATACAAGTCCATTAAAACTACAATGATATGCCGTAACTTACAAAAATAAACAAAAATAGAGAATGTACATAACGAATTTAATTGAGTATTTTATGAAAAAAATATCTGCTTCAATTTCCAAAATTCAATAGTTTAGTACATATTTTCATCTTTTTTTGAATTGACTGACCTATTTCTCCAAATAAGAATACTCGAAACACACCTGGGGCAGGCTAAAAAAAAAAGACATACAAAGTAAATGTTAACTCCATAATTACAGTAATGTTTCAATTCTTAGTTCTTATTTTGAAAAGTTAAATGCATTTTGAATGAGTAAAGGTAAAAGTTATCACATCTTTAATAGTAACCACATGTATAAACCAGATCCAGGGTTTAGTCAAGTGTTGTATTAAGGAAAATATTAGTATTATGTTTAATTAAGAGTACTGTAGCATAAGAAGCACCATCTGTAATCAAATGAAATGTTGAAGACAGTGGATGTCATCTAACAAAACTTAAGTTTTAGAAAGGAAAGTATGTTGATAATATCTTTAAAAAAATCAAAAAGTTACAATTTTCACATAGCTAAAGCAAGCATATAAAAAAAAATATATACAAGTTTTTATAACATAATCAGAGCTGGGCAATTAGTGGAATTTGCTAATTAGTTAATCATCAGGCTCATTAATCTATTACATTCAACTGAACAATTTAATCACATAACATGGCCAAAAAAAAAACAAAATATGAGATGAAAAAACAAACACCTATAATACTAAAAATCAGGTTTCAATATGTGCAGTGGACAGATTGTAGTAGTTTGGTAGTTTGTGTAGTTTGGTGCTTATACAAAAAACAAATAGCAGAATATTGATTACTTGGATAGTTGGAATAATCAAAAATAGTAATAACCAGTAACCCTAATTTTGACTAGTTGATTATTTTTGTAAGTCATAACCCCAATTGATTAAGCTGAACAAACTTGAATTAATTAAAAATCATAATGACAATATTTTGGTTATTGGATAGTTGCAATAATCAAAAACAGTAGCAACTGGAAACACTAGTTAATTATTATTTTGATTAATCAATTATTTTGTGTAACACTAGCTTATTACATTGACTAATTCAGTCAATGACCTAGGTGTGTAGTTCTAATTAAAAAAATGGAATTTAAAGCCTTTCCTGTCCTGTTACACTTAATGGTTGTATAAATATAAGTATGACATAGAAAATTAAATATTTAATTTGTTGGTAAAAATTCAGAAAAGTTACTGAAAGGGAATACGACTTACAGTATCAAACTCCTTTCCTACACATGTAAACACCAACTCTTTCTGTCTAGAATATAACTGTGAAAAGAATTCCAAGATAAAGTTTTAATCTAATGTGTTCATCTCTTCAAGGTTACTGTCCCATTTTTTAAAACATTTATAATGTACAGTACATTTTAAAAAGAAAAAAATCATCATGGTTTCTGGAAACAGTTCTTTAATAAGCAACCACATTGCTTAATTTATTTTACTAGCATAACTTCTTTTTTACAAAGAAATACAACAAAAATCTGGTAAGGCTCTTAAGGTATAACAAAGGGCTTTTAAAACTCAGATTTAATTAACTGCTATTTTAAGTGATGTACTGAAAATTACATTTTTCACTGTATTAGAAATGTTGATTACTTAGCATAATCTTATGTAATATTGTAAATTTTACCAGAAAAAAATTTTCACCAAACAGGATTGCAATTTGAATCTATGTCTTTGTCTGCCAAGGAGAAGTTTAAATAACTTAAACAGTTTTTTCATACCGCAAGCCTCAATCCTTCCTTCATTGCTTTATCAGCACATATACACATGCATACAAACAAACTCATATTCATTAAAAAGACAAAGTGGATTAAACTTAATACACTAATGCTAGTTATCTTTAAAAGCAAAAATTATATGTACAAAAATATGTTAAACCCAATGTGTTATAAGAAATTATGAA